TAAAGCAAGTAATGAATGTGTGACAGAAGTTGTAATACAATTTTAATGGCATTTCCTCTACATGGGAAAACTGATTTGTCAGTGTATATTTAGTGAATAGTTGCAAGAATGGTTTATTGTCAGAAGTCAGAGGGCAGCTTTAGGCTGCTTAATTGTGAAAAACATCTCCATCTATAAGCACTCAATGACTCAAAGAAGGGAATTAGTCTACATCTGCAACATTGGCAGAAAGTCCTACTGTTTCTTACAAGTGGATTGTGGAAAGTAGGGCATGCCTTCTTGCTATTACACAGATGGGGTCTGAAGCAAGGAAACCACTTTTCAATGAAAGTGGAACATTTTTTTTTATTTAATGATCACAACGGAAGAAATAACTTTTGCCCCAAATCATTTTAGTTTTGCTTTACTATTTTGTATTCATTATAGGAATTCTTAACAAAAACAATATATCTGTTAAGATTTATATTTTCTTTGTAACATACAGTAGATCTTGGGAAATGTCTCTAATAAAGGGGGTTAAAGAAACATGCCGAGGTGCTTTATAAACTTAATTTATGCTAGAATAACTGTTATTTTGAAATCTACATTTTATAGCAGAAAGGTTGGTCACAGTAAGTGAACTATAACAATGCACCTTGGAGCAGAAAACATACCCCCTGCCTGAACAGACTTCTTTAACAGTCAATTACTGGACTGGGAAAAGAATGTTTCTCACCTACTAACATCTATTTCTAAGTGGGGGAAATTAAAAAAAAGATTAATATGCATGTCTGTATGTAAAATAATTCATAGTGAAGGACCATAGATGTGACATGGCATGAAGATCTATGTAGGCAGGCATATGGACCAAACATCAAGCAGAAAGTAAACAAATGTGTTAAACTATTATATGTGGGGCACAGAAGGACCAAGGCACTACACAGCCTTAGTACAGATTTTAATACTTTCATTTAAAGTCTGGCTGAATGTTCTTTCATTTAAAGTCTGGCTGAAATGTTCTATTTCAAAGTTCAGGTCCATTATCTTTGTTCTTGAATTTCAGATTTTAGTTTATCTAAAGCCAAAACTTTTTCTTTCATTGTGGAAAGAGTAAGGAATATTTAAAGTGTTACTAAACCCAGGACCCTGCATTCACTATATCTGGTCTCCCACAATACACAGAAACATGGAATTGCAATTATTTTAGAAAATATAAACTGCTAAATATCTTTTCTCATCAGCAGTTAGAGCAGTCTTGTAACTTCTATCAGTGCCCAGCTAAGCACATGTTAAAGCTTGTAGGAGGAGTTTTCATTCTGCTCTAGAAAGATGCAGGACCCCTGACCTCTGTCTGTACAACGCTGATTGGTTCTGTGCTGATCACATGCACTCTCCCAAGAAAAAAAAAAAACTCACTAGCAATACACACCAAATTGAGCATGTGCCGAGTGACCCCACACAATATGTGATAAGGAGATAAGAGGAGAGCACTGAAAGAAGGGGAGGATCAGAGACAGGATCAAACAGCATTTTTACACAATGCAGAGGATTAACCCTTTAGGTTCCACAGTGAGTATAACAAGTATGCTTTACTGCATATACAGACTGATTTTACTGTTGTGGGTTTAGTAACATTTTAACATCCTACCAGATGGTAGACACAACAGGAAGCGAGAACAAATCTTTCCAAAGTGCCTTAAATTCCCTTTTGGATTGACTTAGTTGTCACCAGAACAAATGCTTCATTAAAAAGTCTTCCCCTCTATTAATGTTTCAGTGGCAACTCAAAATGTTAGATTTTTCCCATACTTTCAGTTCCAGTGACAGTGGCTACCAAGACAAATAGACAGGGTGAATCTCTCTAGCAAGGACACAGACAGCAATAGAAACCTGACATAGCTTCCAATCTCCCATCACTCTATCCAAAAAAATGTTTTGGCTCTTCATTCACTTTAACCACTTCAATACCGGGCACTTTTACTCCTTTCCTGCCCAGGCTAATGTTCAGCTTTCAGTGTTGTCGTGATCATGCAACACTGTGCCCATAAAAAAAGTTATCATTTTTTTCACACAAATAGAACTTTCTTTTCATGGTATTTATTCACCACTGAGCTTTTTTTTTTTGCTAAATAAAAAAAGGAAACTTTTGAAAAAAAATACATGTTTTTCTTTGTTTCTGTTATAGAATTATGCAAATAAATAACCTTTCTTCATAAATTTAGGTCAAAATGTATTCTGCTACATTTCTTCAGTGAAAATACCCCAAATTAGTGTATATTATTTAGTCTGTAGGAAAGTTATAGAGTCCACAAACCATGGTATATATATCTGACAATCGATCAATCCTGATGTACTGACGGCCCATCTGATTTCTTGAGGCCCGAAAATGCCAGGTTAGTACAAACACCCCAAAATGACCCATTTTTGGAAAATAGACACTCCAAGGTATTTAGTAAGAGGTATGGCAAGTTTTTTGAAGTTGTAATTTTTTGTCACAATTTTTTGGAAAATGTAAAAATGTAAAAAAATTCACATTTATTTTTTTGTGTGCATATTGTCACCAGTCCAGTACAGTGTTATCATATAACTGGGGTGGTGGTGATCAGGAACACTGACTGGTGACAGTATGTAAAAAAAAATTAAATTTTTTTTCAATTCTTTCTATATTATTTTTCTTTTTTATTATATTTTTTGTACTATTTTGTTTCAACACACTGTGAGCAGAGCAATACAATGTTACTCTGGGCAAGTGATCAGGATTTTTTTTTTTTTTTTACACATTATGATTGCTAATACTAAATATACACTATATTAGGGCACCCCTCCAAATCATTGGATTTAGGTGTTCCAATCACCTCCATGGCCACAGGTGTATAAAATCAAGCACCTAGGCATGCAGACTGCTTCTACAAACATTTGTGAAAGAAAGAGTCGCTCTCAGGAGCTCAGTGAATTCAAGTGTGGTACCATGATTGCCACCTGTGCAATAAGTCCGTCCATGAAATTTCCTTGCTACTAAATGTTCCATGTTCAACTGTTAGAACAGTACTTGCCTGATTGCATTGTACCAAGTGTAAAGTTTGGTGGAGGGGGGGATTATGGTGTATGGTTGTTTTTCAGGGGTTGGGCTTGGCCCCTTAGATACAGTGAAGGGAACTCTTAAGACGTCAGCCTACTAAAACATTTTGGATAATTTCATGCTCTCAACTTTGTGGAAACAGTTTTGGGATGGCCCCTTCCAGTTCCAACATGACTGCGTGCCAGTGCACAAAGCAAGTTCTATAAAGACATGGATGAGCGGGTATGGGTTGGAGGAACTTGACTGGCCTGCACCTCAACCCAATAGAACACCTTTGGGATGAATTAGAGCAGAGACTACGAGCCAGGCCTTCTTTTCTAGAATCAGTGCCTGACCTCACAATTGCAGCTCTGGAAGAATAGTCAGGCATTCCCATAGACACACTCCTAAACCTTGTGGACAGCCTTCCCAGAAGAGTTGAAGCTGCTATAGCTGCAAAGGGTGGGCCAACTCAATAATGAACCCTGCAGACTAAGACTTGGATGCCATTAAATATCATGTGCCTGTAAAGGCAGGTGTCCCAATACTTTTGGCAATATAGTGTACTTTATTGATATTAGCAACCAATTTTACTGAATGAAACTGTTTCATTCAGTCTTTTGTTGTGATTAGCTGTGATTGGGCAAAGCTCATCACATGGTACATATGGGCTGTGATTGGCCCTGTCTGTACCATGTGACCAATCACAGCTAACAACACAATTGTATACAATGGATGGCATGAAAGGAAGCCATCCATTGTATACAATTGTCATGTGATCTGCTGTGATTGGCCAGAGCGGTCACATGACACTGGCAGTGGGCCGGTGTAGTAATCTGTCATCGGCTGTGTCCCGTTTGAGCAGCACCTTCTGATAGGATGTCATAAGACATCTACTCAGAAGGAGGAGTGTCCCACCCGGCCTATAGCAGATTGATGGCAGGGCTGGACGCTCCTCCTTCTGAGTGGACGTCATACAATGTCCTGTCAGAAGGTGCGGCTCACATGGTCATGGGGCCACACAGCGGCGTGATCTGTCACTGGCTGTGTTAATCACAGCCTACAATTTGGAACTTCAAACAAACCTTTTTCTAAAAACTTCACACATTGCCTTAGACCTCTTTCATAATCATTCGTTTAATAGTGTTGTATGTTGATGGCAATTAATGATGATCATGGGTCAGTTTTATTTTAATTTTTTTTTTTAAATATATCTGCATTTTACAATATGTTTTAGAAATAAACATTTAATACATGACAATTGCCAGAGCGCCATGGACAACCTAAAGAGAGAGCACGGCAGTCACTGCCTACTTTTCTACTTTCCTACGTATTTATGATTGAAACTTTAGTCTGTGCTGTTTCATAAACGATGACTAATCTGCTCTTTTTGTATACATTTCCTCTTGAACTACCATTTGAAATAGAAGGCTTTTTTAAACAAGTCTTTGGGAAATAGCATTTTCAGCACACATATTTCACTTATTACTTATTATTTTTTCCCCCTGACTGCCAATAGACGCATACTACCCATCATGGATGTACCTCTTATAGACAGCCATTGATGTGTAGTACACATCATGGCAGTCATAAGTGTTAAAAAAAGATTGTTTTCTCCTATTGGAGCTATGAGCTTGTTTAAATTGACTCTACTGGCTCTGTTCCATGTGTAGAAGTGATTAGGGCAGCTTTTCAGCCACTCCAATGACTCTTACAATGATATAGGTAAAGCCGGTATATTGTGATGGCGGGTGAAAGAATATTTTCTAATAATGTGCACAATGTCATTGTTTGTAATATATATGAAGAATATTCATCTAAATATGACATCATATGTATGACAACATACAATTTAGCACCTAGTTTGTAATTAACACTGGTTGGAAGAAATGTATAGTCACATATGCTGTTACATTCATATATATCCAGCACAAATTCAGTTTCTGATTATACTTTTATGCAGGAACCAGGGGCGTTGTGTGGAAGGTTTGGTTGAGATTTTTGATATGCTGGTCACTACAGCTACACGTTTCCGGATGATGAGGCTCCGTGGGGAGGAGTTTATCTGTTTGAAATCTATCATTCTTCTCAATTCTGGTAAGTATGAAGATGTGATTAATGATCAGCCTGAATCTTCTATACCTCTCCTTAATTGCTTCCATTGGTTGTATAGGACTCCTTGTGTTAGCCTTTTGTGTGTTCAGATTAGCTGTTGTGCTTTCACTTCAACTAAAGTTGATTTGGTAATCTAGCTGGGTCCTCTCATTCCCCATATTATAATGTAATTTGTACATACCTTGCATTTATGTGTGACAAAATGCTCATACCAACTGTATACAGGCTCATATAAAGGCTCTGTGAATTTAACCTGTACCTGACCTATGCAAAAGTTGTTCTGGATGGCGTGACTTCTGGTTGCTCCCTCTTCAATTGTAGCCTAGTTAAACTGCTTACATGATGTGTAGCAAATCTGTATAATATTTCTAGCTGTTGTCTCTGAAATAATATACTCTACTTTTAGTTTTATTATAAAACTTGCCTTGACCCCCCTCCAATTGCAGCCTGGCAAAATTACTTACATAATGTGCAGCGAGCCTGCACAATAATTCTAGCTGCAGTCTCTAAAATAATATGCTTGAATCTTTTTTTCATGAAAAAAGTTCCTCATCTTAAATTTCAGCCCAGTCAAGATGCTTACATATGCTCCAGCCATTGTACTATACATATGGCTACTGTCTCTGAAATATGGCACTGTCATTTTTATTTCATAACAACATAACAACTCCCTCTTTAAAAGGTGGAGTTTTGGTTTTGAAGTGTTATTGTGCACTCTGTTTTGAGATTAACATTAATTAAACCGACTGCAAAAAGGAGATCACTATAAACTGTTTTGCCACTGTTAAGAATTGCTTCTGTTGGTCATATAGTATTTCTTGTCATCCTTTTGTGTGTTCCCATTAGTTGTTGTGCTAGTTGTGCTTCCACATCAACCTAAATTGACTTATTAATCTATCTGGGTCCCCCCCAATCCCCATACTATAAAGTCATTTGTCTATACCTTGCATTTATGTGTGACCAAATTCTCAAACCAACTGTATTCAGGCCGAAATAAAATTCTCTATGAATTGAACCTGTATTGGAGCTATGCACAAGTTGTTCTGGACGCACATTTAAATACAGGAACATGAAGGAATGACTTGCATATCTATACTTACTACCCTAAAATGAGGAATAAACCCCTGGTTTTTTCATTTGTATTGACATTTAAATACCTTTTCTTCTGACCTTCTTCTCTAAAATGTTAGTAGGCTGTTTGATATTTAGAGCCACTGTCCTCAGTACTTTCTAGGAGACATACCTGGAGCAAGTATTCAGATCGGGAAAGCGACAGTATAATCAGATGTTCTTATCTGTGTGTTTCTATTCAGTAGTCTAATGTATGATCAGCATAACTCCATAAAGTTCAAACAGAAGCTGCCCACCTCACAGAACTTGACCTTGTCATGACAGCTGCCCAAAGTGAATGCCACAGATGGTGCTGTGCCAGAAGAAAATACAGTGGGGATCGAAAGTTTGGGCACCCCCGCTAAAAATTTGTATTAATGTGCATAAAGAAGCCAAGGAAAGATGGAAAAATCTCCAAAAGGCATCAAATTACAGATTAGACATTCTTATAATATGTCAACAAAAGTTAGATTTTATTTCCATCATTTACACTTTCAAAATAACAGAAAACAAAAAAATGGCATCTGCAAAAGTTTGGGCACCCTGCAGAGTTAATATCTTGTACTGCCCCCTTTGGCAAGTATCACAGCTTGTAAACACTTTTTGTAGCCAACCAAGAGTCTTTCAATTCTTGTTTGATGTATCTTTGCCCATTCTTCCTTACAAAAGTCTTCCAGTTCTTTGAGATTTCTGGGCTGTCTGTCACGCACTGCTCTTTTAAGGTCTATCCATAGATTTTCAATTATGTTGAGGTCAGGAGATTGTGAAGGCCATGGCAAAACCTTCAGTTTACACCTCTTGATGTAATCCCCCGTGGATTTCGAGGTGTGTTTAGGATCATTATCCATTTGTAGAAGCTATCCTCTCTTTAACTTCAGCTTTTTCACAGATGGCATCAAGTTACCATCCAAAATTTGCGGAAATTTTATTGAATCTATTTTTCCTTCTACTCGTGAGATCTTCCCTGTGCCACTGGCTGCAACACAACCCCAAAGCATGATTGATCCAACCCCATGCTTAACAGTTGGACAGAGGTTCTTTTCTAACTTTTGTTGACATATTATAAGAATGTCTAATCTGTAATTTGATGCCTTTTGGAGATTTTTTCCATCTTTCCTTGGCTTCTTTATGCACATTAATACAAATTTTTAGCTGGGGTGCCCAAACTTTCGATCCCCACTGTACAAGATGCAAAGTCATCAGCATCCAAATAGATGCCTTTCATGTGTTTATTGTGACAGCATAGACTCACATAAGGCATAAGAAACTGACAGTTCAAACTGACTGATGCTTTATGTGAAGCTGTCTTCACAATACACAAGTGACACATGTCTATTTGGGGTGCTGATGACTTTACATCTTTGTGATCAGTAAACACTGTCAAGCAGCAAGCATTTAAAAGACAAGTAGTTAGTAACGGCCACCCCATGTTTACTGTACTTTCCATTGTTTTAATGGAAAGCTTTTTGGTTTCTTTTGGCCCACCTCACCCTATTCTGACAAGCTTTTTCTACTTAGTAATCTAGAATTAACTTTATAAAATGAACCTTGGCAAAGAAGATCAAGGTTGCCCTATTTCGCTGCAGATTGCTTTGAGCATGAAGGTGCCAAATGCCAGCATTTTTAATCAGAGGCTTTAGTTTTTGGGATCATTTATAAATAGTTTGTTCAGAAAGCATTCTTCACGCTGGGCATAACTCAGAGATTCTATAACTATTAATTTTTAAACCTTTTTTACTTTCTTGACATGTTTCTTGTATGCCAAGAATTTCTACACAATAATCTTTACCAAAAAATATAATAGCACTTCCACAGTAATTATACGTTTAGAGGTTCATTCTTGGATATGACGCCATTGAATGTCTTGCTACAATACCTAAAATTTGACATTAACAAAGTTAACCATTTTGTTTTAAGTGCAGTCATACTTAGAGTCCATTAAATATGCTTTATGTTATAGCTGTTAATTTATGACTTTAATTACATTTATTTATTTCAGGTACTTATATAGTGCTGTCAATTTACACAGCGCTTTACATATATATTGTACATTCAGTTCAGTTCCTAACCCTTAAGGGGTGTACAATCTAAGGTCCTTAACTCACATTCATACATACACATACTAGGGACAATTTAGACAGGAGCCAATTCATCTACCAGCATATCTTTGGAGTGTGGGAGGAAACCGGAGTAATCAGAGGAAACCCACGCAGGCATAGGGAGAGCATGCAAACTCCAGGCAGGAGGTGCTGTGGCTGGGGATTTGAACCAATGACCCTAGTACTGCCAGGTGGAAGTGCTAACCATTTAGCCACTGTGCTGCCCATAGATAATAATCATAATTTTTATTGTTATGTTTGTGAACAGCAGAAACATATAAAAAGAATTAAGAGGATGGAGGCATATTTGCCTGTTTAATGCGCCTTTTTACATTAAAGTCCAATTGAACCCTTGTTATTTATTACTGTAATGCAGTTAGACTGGAAGCACATTGGAGAGTTGGACTGGATTTCATTTTTTTTTTTTTGTATGTATTATGTTTAGAACTTGAAAACATATTTAGAAATTGAAAGCATATGCAGATGATGGCCACCATACTAGCTAGCATGCTGTTTGGTATGCATTGTGATTTGTCTGTCAGATGTATGCATCGCACATGTAGTAAGAGCTCCTTAGAAAAGAGAAAACCATCAATTGTTAGAAAAAGTTACTTTTGTTTCAATGATAAGAAGTAATGATGAGCAATTGTCTAGTTTCCATGCACAGGCCATTTGTTGAACTCTGTAAATTCTGGAAATTACTTGAAAGTGTTTGGAAAGCTACATTTTTTAATTAAAATAATAAACTTACTTTTTCTGTGCACTGGTATTGCACAAGTGGACTCGAAACCACCTCCTCTGGGGTCCCCTGCCGATGATCTTGGCTGCCATAGCAAGCTGCATGCTATGGGAACATTCATCCAGGAGCGCTCCCAAGCCAGGGCTGTGTGTGTCCATAGCAGAAGGGCCATCTTAATATCATCATGGGCCCCTGGGCATAATAATGCACTGGGGCCCCCACAAGCCTGCACTACCACTCACCAAACACAACCCATTCAAATAAAAGGGTCTGCGCTGCAACTTTCCCACAACCGACAACCGTGTGCGATGCATACGGTTGTAGTTGGGGTAATGCAGATATTAGAGCAGGGGTAGGCAACCTTTGAGAAGTGGGTATCTACCTGAACAACATGAAAGAAATGTATAATTCCTTTTTTTTTTAAAAGAAATTAACTAGCAAGGTCTAACTAGATGACACGCAGAAAACTTAGAAAAATTATTATAAAACTAATGTCAATGTAAACTTAAGCCTACTTTAAAAGTTAACGTTGGTGAATGCCGAGTTTCAGGCCTTAATGCAGGGCGGGGTATAGAGGTCAGTAATAGGTAATGCAGAGTAAAGGAGTCAGCTGTTTGTAGGGCAGATTATAGGGGTCAGTATGACAGAGGATGGGGTCAGTAGAACAGTAGACAGTGTCAGTCAGTAGGACAGAGGATTGTGACAGTAGGGCTGTGGATGGTGTCAGTTAGTAAGACAGTGGATGTTGTCAGTAAGGCAATGGATGGTGACAGTAGTGCAGAGGATGGTGACAGCTAGTATGATAGTGGGTGATGACAGTTAGGCAGTGGATGATGACAGTTAGTAGTGCAAAGGATGGTGACAGTTTGTAGGGTAGTCGATGAAGACAGCATTGCAGAGATGGTGACAGTAGTGCAGAGAATTAGGTCAGTCAGTAGAGCAGTGATGTGTTGCCGGCCAAGTTGATTGTCTTTCCATGTTGGAGCCATCAGCTTGCCACTCCATTGTTCATGTAAGCACAGTGCTTTTTATTT